CCTGGTGGGAGTGGGCAGCAAGGCCGTCCTGTCCTCACCGAGACTGCTGGCCTTCCTCACAATGCAGTGCAGCAGGTGTTGACTCTGGTTCACTAGCAGGGCTTTAAGGAGGTGATATTTGTTTCCAGCTTCCAAGTGTAATTTGGAGGGGTGTAGGTGTTGGGAGGATGGAGTGACTAGTGGATGTTACAGGCAAAGGGAAGGAAACCTAACCAGGAACTATGGTCATCATGGCAGGGCACCTTCTAGTTGCAGATCCAGAGTCATCTTGCATTCCTATTTGCCCCAGACAGTCCCCATGAGTGCCTCCTGTCCTGGTGTACATCACAATAGCACCCCATTTCAGTCCCTAAACTGTCCAAGTACTCAACCTGCATCATCACAGAGATGAAGACCTGATGTGCAAAGAGATTAAGAAGCTGACAAAGAGCACACAGCATCTAGGTGGCAGGCTCGGCCTTAACCTGGAAGGTCTGTGGCCCAGAGGCTTGATGGGTTTGAGTGTAAGATGCAGGAACCTTCTGCTCCATACCAGGAACAGGCTGGGTGTCTCCACATTTAGGATTAGGAAGAAGATGGGGGGGGAGGTAGCCTCAAGGCCCTTGCAGGTGATTTGGTGACTCACAGCTTTCATTAAAGCCATCTCTAAGAGGCTACACAATGCTGCCTTTTCAACATCTCTGCCCTTGGGGTCCTGCCTTGGGATCCAGAGACCTTGTATTTTGTGTCTAGGGCAGGGTGGGTTTCTGCAGCTTATGGTCTCTCCAAGTTGGAGTCTACCAGGGCAGGACCACAGGGTTTCCCAGGATACCAGAGGAGCAAGTCCTGGGCTTCTAGCTCTGGGCTCTTCGAATTCAACTAGAGTGAAAAACAGCAAGTCCTGAGCTGGAAAGCATCTGAGCTTCACCTCTGCCTCCCCCTCTTCCAGAGGGTTAGCAATGACACCGTTCTCACTGGAAGGCTTTTGGGATAAAGCAATTGCAGAGCACCTCAACCACCAGGGAAGTGGATCAAGGGCAGTAGGGGCTGGAGTCATTGTTGCCTCTCTTATGTGGCCCAGAGCTGAGCCCCACCACTTGTTCCCTAACTCTGTGTTTAAACAGGCTGGGAACTTGACTCCTGAAGGGTAAATGTTAGCTTAGCAGAGCAGCGCTCGGTGCCACGTCAGCCAGGTTGACCTCTCCTGGCATCACCTGGGGTTCTGCCATCGTGGCACACAGACCACACTCCCTCCTTCCCCAGAGTCCGGGTCCTTGGAGACCAGCAAGTTTCACACCCCCAGCGCGCCTCAGCCGACCCTGGGAGCTCAGCCTTGCGCCATGCGATGAGGAGGGCACCTCTGCCCCTTCTCCTGCCCTCTGGAAGGAGCTGCAGGGGCAGGTCCCTCTCTTCTGTGTTCTTGCTAGGTGGGTGTGCAGGTGAGTGGGCCGGGCCCGGTTGCCCAAATTCTCACTTGTCAAACTTACCTTCCATCTCCAGAAAACGAAGATACAAATGACAGTAGCACTTGTTCCCTGAGATACCCCACAGGACGGCTTCGCCAGTATCTGGCCTGGTTGGAGCTGGGAACCAGGTAAGGCAATGGGAGAGGCAGGAGGCTGACCCCACCAGCCTCACCTGGTCATTTGGGGGTCGCCCAGGCGTCCGGTGCTCGTTGCACACTGACGTTCACGCAATAGGGCTGGGGAGCACCAAGACCCGGTCCTGCCACCTCTGGGAGGGCTCAGGAGCTGCGGTGGCCAGCGCGAGGACAGGAACAGACGAAGCCAAGAGGGGACCTGGCAGAGTGCGGAGGCGGTTCCGCAGAGACCAGGCTCCGCGCGCAGTGCAGAAGGTACGCGGCGGGCCGCCCTCCCTGCCAGGGCAGGGACGCGTCCAGTAGGGTCCAAGACGCTAGCTCGCTCCATAGGAGTCACTCAAGCCATGACACAGCTTGGAGCGCCAAACCCGAGCCTGAAGCCGAAAGCCGTAACCAGGCAACCAGCGTGCGCCGAGCTGCCTGGTGCGCAGGCGCAGTCAGCCGCCGCTTGGAGCCACCACGCCGCGCACGCGCGGTCGTTCTCCGACCGCCTTCCAGCCTTCCTGGCTAACGGCAGACTGGGAGCAGAGCGCATGAGTCCGGTCTACGCTCAAGTTCTCGGCTCCGCTAAGCAGCCGGTTCTCAGTGCGTGAACCTGTTGGCATCAGTCCTTCAGACAGATTCTTGCCTTGGGGCCTTGAGTGAAGAATTTCGTGTCTTCTCACATCCTAAAACGAAAAAGACTAGGATAAAGAGCCAGCGTAACCAGGGTCACGGCCCGGGCGGCCCGGCGCGCCCGGCCTGGGCAGGTGGGCGAGGGGCGGGGCCGAGGGCAGAGGGGGTGGAAGGACGCAGGGAGGGGCGGGACCAAGAGTTGGGCACTGGGCGAACGCCCGCGAGGGACACTGTGTGGGGCGGGACCGGGGGGGCGGGACGAAGGAATGAGGTGGCGATGAAGGACAGATACAGCGAAGAGAGAGACCAATGGGGGAGGGACTAAGGGATGGCGGCGAATGACGCGACGGGTGGGACCAAGGGGGCGGGGAGCGCCTGAACGAGGTCAGGGGCGGAGTGGACGCGCCGAGGGGCGGAGCGCGCGCTGACGCTGCAGCTGGACACGTCGGCGGCGCGGCTGCCGGAGCCGGATGTGCCAAGATGGCTGCGGCGGAGGCCGTGTCTGTGCTCGTCGCCGGGTGGGCGTCCTCCCGCGGTTCCTGAGGGCCGTCCGCGGCCGCGCGGGTGAGGAGGCCCGCGCGGGCGGAGGAGGGTGGGGGCAGCGAGCGGTGCGTGGCTGTGCGGGCGGGGCGGAGGGCGGCGGCTGGGCCCAGCCCCGAACCGGCGGCGCGGCTGCGGGGAGGCGCCCGGGCCAACAGAGGGGCCGGCCCTCGGGGCCGGCCAGTGCCCTCCGGGCGCGGCCCGAGCGGCTGTGTCCGCAGGCTGGAAGCGCGATCCTCTCTGCGGACTGACGTGGACCTAGCGAGTGTCCAGGTCCGGGCGGTGCCCGCTGGGCTTGACTGAGGTGACACTGGTCCTCGCGGGGGCTGCCTCTGTGGAGAGTTGTCTTGGAACGGCTGGACAGTCAGCCACCTCTTATGGGACCTGCAACTTTTTTAAACAAAGACACATTTGAGGAATTTCTCTTGACAGTTTAGTGTGCCTTTTGCGACGCAGGTTCTGAAGATGCCTTGTCCTCATTGGTTGGAAGACTTCCTTAGCGAAGCTGGTGGTGAACCAAGGGGCAGAGTTGTTTGCAATTGGATGTTGCCGCGGAGGTAGAGCACCTCTATATCAGGGATTAGAGAAACATGTGAACCATCTTGCCCTATTGTGATGAAAGTATTACATGAGAGCATTCGGCTACATCAAAGACATTTAGAATCACTTTTCCGGTTTTCTTGAAAGCGTTTTTAAGGCCGGGCACAGTGCCTCACGTCTGTGATACAAACACGCTGGGAATCCGAGGAGGGTGCATCGCCTGAGCTCAGTCTGAGCAAGAGTGAGACCCTGCTTCTACTAAAAATGAAAAACTGACACAAAAGGATTGCTTTAACCCAAGAGTTTGAGGTTGCTGTGAGCTGTGATGCCACAGTACTCTACCCAAGGGGACAAAGAGAGACTCTTTCTAAAAAAAAAAATTTTTTTTTAATGGTTTGTAGGTTGGTTGTGGGTTGCTTATTAAGATTTCTATTTTAAATATGTATGATGCAGAGTTAACTAGAGAAGTATTTCCCATCCCCAGATGTGGCAACAAGAAGCATGCAGAGTCCCAGTTGTTCCTAGAGTGATTTTTTTTAAGTTTTGACACAATGCAGCCTCCTTGCAGTTTTCTACCCCTTTCCCTTTCTTAGGATTCCAGCACTGGTATCTTGAAAAGACAAATTTGACTTTGGCTCAGTTATCCTTAATGGTAGTTACTACAGTGAGGCTCAAAATTGTACTGAAAGTTTTCTTTAAGGTAAACTTTAATATGAATTCTTTTTGCTTCCCTAAATGTCTTTCATGAGTATCAGAGAGTCTTTTTGGGTGTTCATCATTTTTAGCAGTTTAGACTCTTCTGCCCCTGCTGCCTTCTTCAACAACTAAATGTGTTTGATTCCAATTCTAACATAGCAGAGCTGGAGTTTATTATGTGTTGTGTCAGCTGTCCCATAGTCTGAGGGGTGTCACTAGCCATCACCATGAGGGAGATGTGGGGCAGAGGGTAGACTCTCCGGTGCTTCCTGGTGCTCCTGCTGGTTTACATTCCTACTGTTGGAGGCTGGTGGCATTTAGTGGAGGGGGTTGTGCATATGTGTCTTAAATACCTCAATTCTGTAGCCTGAAAGTTACACTGAATACAGTTTTGCCTTATTTCTCACATGGATACAAAGCAGTTTAACTGAAAAGCTAGATTTATGAATAATACACTTTCAAGATCAACTGGTCTTTTTGAAACAGTATGCCTTTTAAAAAGTTACATGGTTAAGGGTCTTGTGCTGAAGCCTTCCAAGGAGGAAGTCCACCTCCTGCGAGACGATAAGCATAGAATGCCTGTCGCTCCGAGCAGAACCATTTCAGGAGGGACTGAGAAGTCTGCATGTCCTCACCATAGGAAGTGGCTGTGCCTGCAGCTGGTTGGACCACAGGGAAGAGGATGCCAGCTCACGAAAGGGAGGAGCTGCTCTACTTGTACTTTGAGTCCATATCAAGTGGAGCTATGAACATCTTTTGCTTTCAATTGATAACTTAGAAGTAGACCAAATCTCTGATATTGTTCCTAAATATAGTCTGTTAAAGTCAAGTGAGTTTCAAGGTGCTTCTTTGGAAGGGGTCTCCTATTGGCTTAGGAAAGAACGTGTAAGAACTGTAATAGTAGAGAGTTAATAGATTTAAAGGACTAGTTTTCAGGTAGGGATAGGAACTTTGATTTGTAAATGGCTTTACTTAAAATATGCTCTTTAATGACTTCTTCTTTTATCTGAATATCAAAAAGATTTCCAAGGACAGAAACACTATACATCTGCAAAAATATGTGGATTAAACTCCCGAGTCCTCTTAAGATTTCTTCCTTTGGTTTAGTTTTCTCTTTGATTGGCTAAATTTAATCTGTTTGTTTATGAAGATGGTACTAGGAAGAAGTATGAATAAAAAGAAAAGGACTTTCTAAAGATGTAACAATTGAACTTTGGCCTTAAAAGTCCAGGTTAACTATTCAAATTTATATTAACTGCATGTTATTTCAAAACAAATAAGAACAACAACAACAAAAACTGTGATGAGATGCTTTCTTTTCTTTTTAATTATTTTAGAAACGGATTTCACCCTGCTCCCAGACTGAAGTGCAGTGGCACGATCATAGCTCACTGTAGCCTTGAACTCCTGGGCTCAAGTGATCCTCTTGGCTTCAGCCTCCTGAGTAGCTGGAACAATGGGTGTGAGACACTATGCCTGGCTAATTTATTTATTTTTACTTATGTATATTTTTTCTAGAGATGAGGTCTCAGTATGATGCTCAGATGGCTGATCCTCAAATTCCTGGTCTAAGCCATCGTCTGCCTACCAAAATGTTAAGGTTACAAGATACGGGCCACCACTTCCAGCCCTCTTTTGTTTTCTCTAAGAGGTTTAATGGCACTTTGCCTGTTGTTGAACATTTTTGAATCTAGTTAAACCATCAGTTTTAAAGCTGCTTTAAGTTTTCTTGGGTTTTCCATTCTAGGTATAGTTACAACTCTGATGGTAAGAGGTAACATTGTTTCTCTGGTGGTGCTTTCATACCTTAAACTTGGCACGTTACCAAAAAAAAGGAAATTTTACATGGTGAGATAAAAGGCATTTAGTATGGTAATATGCTGGTCACCATACAGAGGTGGTCACCATAAGGAACCAGGCCTACTGTACTGACACATACATGTGGTGCATGTCTGGTCTATGAGAATTAGGTCAACTTGAGGAGGTGGTCCAGGTAGGGAGGTGGTCAGCTATGGAGGTTCTTGCTGTAGTTACTTTTCATTCTTTATAACTGTACTTTATAATATTCCATTAGAGGAAAAGGAAATTTTAAACTTTTGTATTCCCTTGGAGATTTAAAATTAACATGTATGGAAAGTATGAAATTCAGTTCTTCTTATCTAATAGAGGAGTTGGCTCTTTCTGGATCTGGTGATGGTTCCCAGAAAACATGGGGGACCTGTGCTAGGGTACCAGACTGGTGGCTGGATTCTGCCTTGTCCTTGCCGGTGTAGTGATGATCTGCGGAGACAGGGGGCATTCTGAGTAGGGGGTCCCAGAGGAGAGAGTATCTGTCCAGATGCACTTAGCCAGCTCATGGCCAAATCACGCAGGGCCCTCTCTCGGTCCACTCCCTCTCAGAGGGCTGGCAACAGCTCCTCAAGGACAGATGCTCCCCACTGGGGCAGGAGTGTGAGAGGGGTGTATTCTTCAGGATTAAAGGACTTGAAATTGATTTTAGTCTCTTTCTTTAGTTTTACTGATTGCAGCCAAGACTTTGTTTTGTTGTTGTTGTTTTGGTTTTTTAAGAAGCAAGGTCTCACTTTGCTGCCCGGGCTGGGGTGTGCTGGCCTGACCGCTGCTCACTGCAGCCTCCTGCCTCGGACCCCCATGGTGCCTGCCACCATGCCTGCTAATTTTTTTTTTTTTAAATAGAGATGGGGTCTCACTGTGTTGCCTAGGCTATAGGTCTTTGAATATATGTGTTTTATGCTCCTTTTGTTTTTTTCTTTTCCAGCTCGAATTAAGGAAAAGTTACATCCTCCTTCCTTCTGTAAACAGCATCTACTTCTGCAAAACGTTGGTCATGCAGCCACCACCCCAGGCAGTCCCATCTGGTGTGGCTGCGCCACCTCCAGCCGGGAATCCTCAGAGCATATTCTGGACTAACAGCCCTTATAGAAGACGGGCCAATAATAATGCACCAGTGGCTCCGATAACTTGTCCCTTGCAGCCAGTAACAGATCCATTTGCTTTTAGTAGACAGGCCCTCCAAAATACACCACTGGGTAGTTTGTCCAAAAGCAGCCCGCCCATCTTGCAAGGCCCAGCACCCCCGGGGTTTCCTCAGCACTCTGGTTTACCTGCACCTCACACAAATGCCAGGGATAGCTCCCAAGGACCTTGCGAGCCACTGCTGAGACCTCCATCACAGCCCAGAGCAGACACCAGTTCATTTTCTGATACATTAACCTCTTCAGCACTGCCCAGGGCTGAGATGAACAGGAGTGCAGAAATCCATCCCAGCGCAGAGACTGAAGTTCCGGCTCCACCATATCTGCAACACTACATTCCAGGAGTGGGTCCTGACCTGTCTCATGGGGCCCATCTGCATGGGAGCATGCCTGGGCCTGACCAACACCTGAGAAGGCAAAACCCGAATGATGATGTGGTAGCCCCAGCAGCGACCCCTTTTTCCCCCCAGCCTCGTCAACAGATACCTGGTCATTGGGGACCAGTGCAGGCAAGCCCACAGCCCTCAGGTCAGAATCAATCCCTTTGCCTGGAAGGACCTGTTCAAATTACGGTGCCCCATGCCACCAGCGTTCCTCATCTCCCCTCTTCATCTAGCCCACATCAAGGCCTTGGCCAAGAGCCACATAACCCAGTAGTATCTCTTTCAGCACCCTTGGCCAGTGATGGAAGAAGTGAAGTGGCATACCCGCAAAGTGAAAGCTACTCAGCAAATAACTTTGATCCTGAAAATACATTCAGGCAAAACCCCAGAGTTGGGAATACTTGGACAAGCCAAGAGTTTGGGCAAAATCCAGGAGTGAATGAGCACCAGCCAATCCCCACTTTTGTGAGCCCTCTTGCTCAGGGAGATAACCCAGAAAACCACATGCACCATCCTCCAGGGGCTGGGGCCAGCCTCCTCCTTCCAGATACAGACTCGGGAGCCCTCTCAATGTTTTTCCAAGGGGCAGAGACAGAAAATGAGGAGAATCTGTCATCTGAAAACACAGGCTCTGCTGCTAAATCAGAATTCGAAGGTTTCTCCTCTAACTCTGGACTGGGCCATGCACCCCTGCCTACACATGGAGGAGGAGGTGGCATCTGTCAGGACTTTCTTCAAGGCTCCAACATTGAGACCACACAGCATGGTGGAGAAACACACTTTTATTTTGCTCACTCTGCAAGCATTCAGCATGATGAACAAACCACTAAAAACACTGCCAGTGATATGCGAGGTGACACAGCAAATGCAGGGACTCAGGGTGCCAGTGCCTCACAGTACGAGAATATTGAGAACTTAGAATTTATTCAGAATCAAGAAGTTCTTCCAAGCGAGTCCCTAAATTTCAACGCTTCCTCTCCAAGTGATCAGTTCAGATATGGGGTCCTTCCTGGGCCATCTCTCCCCAGGCACAGTGCTGTGGGCCACACTGGGGCTCCTGACACAGCACTGCATCCTGTGAGATCTGATAGCATGTCATCTGGCTATAGCAGCAAAAGCCATAGGAGCCTTTCAGGCTCAACCAGGCCCCAGGAACTCGTTGGCACGTTTATTCAGCAAGAAGTTGGAAAACCTGAAGATGAAGTTTCAGGTAGTTTTTTTAAGCAGATCGATTCTTCTCCCATGGGAGGTGAGACAGATGAGACCTCCATGAGCCAGAACTACCATAGCAGTTTATCCCAGCCCTCAACTCCAAGCCCCCCCAAACCAACAGGAATATTTCAGACAAGTGCAAATAGTTCTTTTGAACCAGTAAAATCTCACTTAGTTGGGGTAAAACCAGTCAAGGCAGATCGTGCCAATGTGGTGGGTGAAGTGAGGGGAACTCGTGCCTACCAGAAGAAGCGCAGGCCACCTGATGCTTCCCCTGGCAACCTGGAGCAGCCACCAGACAACATGGAGACCCTCTATGCACCCCAGGTCTGTCCTCTGCCTCTCAGTATCACTGCGGAAGTTGGGCGTGTGCTTCCTCACACTGGAGGGCCACCCTTGGATACGGTGCACCCGACACCTGAAAGGAAGCCCTCAGCCAGAGCTCATGGAGCCGGAAAGTGTGAGAGCCCTGCGACAACTCTGTGGGCACAAAATGAGCTGCCAGATTTTGGAGGCAATGTTCTTCTAGCCCCAGCAGCTCCTGTGCTTCAGGTACCTACAAAACCTCAGCCACCTGCAATTGTCCAGCCTCCAGAAGAGGTGGTCCCTGGGCAGCAGTCACAGAAGCCAGACTCTGCCATTCCCCTGCAGAACCGAGATGGCATTGGTGCTTTGGAGAACCTTGAGAACCCTCCCACTGTGGGAGAAGAGGAGGCCCTGAAGTCGCAGGCAAGTTCTGGTCATGCTGGTGTGTTACCCTTGCTGCCTACTGAGCCTTTGCAACGTCAGCCAGTCTCAATGGCCCAGCTTGATCAGAGCTATAATTTAGCTCAGCCTATTAATTTTTCTATGTCCTTCTTGAATCTTAATGGGAAGAATCAGTCTTGGAGAGATACTTTGGTGGGGGATAAATCTCTAATAAGCAGTAGGGTGCTCAGTGGTGATTTTGGGGAAAATACTCCTTTGTCTGGGATCCCAACCAGCTCTGTCCTTAGCTTGTCTTTGCCTAGCAATCTTGCCCAAAGTAATTTTGCACAAGGTTCTGGTACTAATCAGCCTGCAAATTTGCTGATTCAGCCACCATCCCATCCACTTCCAAGGAACTTGGTTCCAGAAAGTCAAAAGAATCATAATGCAGAAAATGTTCCTCCCGAGTTTAATAGTTCTACTGGAAGCATGAGTATGATGTTAGTTCCACCTGCAAACAGTACTTTGATACCTGAGAGTAATAAGGCAGATTGCTCCAGTAATCGGGAAGAACCTTATGGAGCCTTAGACTTTACATTAACTAGGATTTTGGAAAATCCAGTAAGAATGTATAGCCCATCCTGTTCTGACAGCCTGGCTTCGCAGCACAATCTTGCCAATCATCCTGGACAGTCTGGGCCTGGGCCACATAACCCAGACCATTTCTACCAACAGGTAACAAAAGATGCACAGGACCAGCCTGGCCTGGGAAGTGGCCTGCAGGGGCTGGTGCCTCCTCAGCAGCAGAGTTCTTCCCTGCGAGTCCCCAAGACAACGCTTGCAGAACCTTCCAGCCCAGAGAGTCCACCAGCACAAGGACAGCCCCAAAACTCAGCCCACCCACCAGCAAGCCTGGCTCCAGCTGATGCAGGCCAACAGCTGCCACCTCAGCTGCCTCAGTCTTCCAGTGCATCACTGATGTCCACTGGCTCAAGCCAGGTAGCCAAGCAGTCAGAGCCACAGTGGCCACAGCCCATGCCTCCACAAGCACTGGGCCCACTGCCACAGGACATGGCCTCCTACTACCATTACAGACCCCTGCATGAGGCCTACCAGTCTCAGTACCCCTCGCTTTATCCACCAGATCCAGGGGTGGCCTCCCTCTATTACCAGGTGCGTGGAGCTCTTGTGTTTAATCTATTGCTCTCTCCTTGCTTTGACCAGTGTTGGGTTTCTCTCTGTTCTGGTGTGTTCTTGGTAGTGATTTGTCTGCTTGACTGAGAGGTGACCACAGAGTCCAGGGCACATAGAGTACAGTGCCAAGTAGAACGCCAGCTCTAAGCAGTGCTTCCTGAGAAAAGTTCTCCTGCAGCCCAGAGCTGAGCACAGGCCATCTCTTAGAAATTCACACTACACATTTACATATTGAATTGATTATAATACCTGATTAATTTTTGCTTAATCCAACCTCCCTAGATTTGTGTACAAAAAGAACTCTGTCTTTCCTATTACAGCTGGTGGCTGTCTGTAGAATTAGAGTTCTGGTTGTACACTTTGGAGAACTGGGATGGCATTTGGGAGCTTTCGTGTGGTCTTGAGAGTTACTTCAATCTTTTAAATCCCTTCTTGAGGATACAAACATTGAAGGAAAAAGTTACATTTAGAATATTATTCTCATGCAATAGCTAAGAGAGGTGGAATTCCAGGAGCTTCTCTCAAATACTAGTGATACCAGTAGCAGAGTGAAGAGGCCCTGTGTGTTCACATACAGGATTCTTTGATGTCTTTTTTTTCACAGCAACACAAGCTCATGAGTATTGCTTAAATTAGGTTCTGTTTAAATTCTATAGTGGTTTGATCATTATCTGCATTTTCTCATCTCTGACCCTGACTCAGTATCACCCAAGGTAAAAGTATTGTGTAAGGAATTCTTGCAATGTGTGGGGCCAGTCACACCTAGACTGGGTGGTATGGGAAGGCCTTGGAGTTAGAGTCCCTAGGAGCAGAGCTGCTGTGACCATGTTGCCCTCGGCCATGGGACCTGGGCCCCCTTCATGGGCCTTGAGCATGGTAGTTTGTGCACCTGCAGACAGAGGTTTGACCCCTCAGGCCTGTGAGACCAAGATTCCAGAGGAAACCATCCACTTTATTTATACATAAGAAGGTGTAGCTTTGACCTGGGGGAGCAGCAGAGTGAGGTCCTGTGTGGGGCTCGGCCTGGATCTAAGCTCACTCAGACTTTGCTTTCAGCTTCTATAGTGTCCAGTAGTGGGCAAGAACAAATCTGTTTTTCCATGATTTCACATTTTCTGCCAGGTAGTGTCAGAGAGTTGGGCTTTCAGACATGGAAAATGAATTTTGGCTTCTTTCCGGATAACTCCATCCTCAGATCTTCCTGTGTCTACTTGGGCCCTTCCTTAGAGACAGATCTGTGGCCATGTACTGATTTTTTAATGGTCCTGAAAGCATAAAAATAAAACATCCTCTTTTTGAGGCTGTCCATAACCTTAGGACTCATTCATGTGGTCTTAAAGTTTTATGGAGATGGCATCTGAAGCTGAACATAAGCATTGTTGAAGTCATAACATCTCTGGCCAGCACAATGGCTCATGCCTATATTCTCTGCACTCTGGGAGGCTGAGCCAGGAGAGTCACTTAAGCCCAAGAGTTTGAGGTAGTTGTGAGCTCTGATGACCCGATGGCACTCTGCCCAGGGCACACAGTAAGATTCTGTCTCCAAAAAAAAAAAAAACAAACCAAAAAACATGACATTTTTGCATTGGGGACATCAAGAAGCAGACACCTGACAAATCCTCTCCAGATGTTACTGTGGCCACTCAAGGTTGCCTGCTCTGGTTTGCTGGTGTGATGGGCAACAAGGTGGTCTCCTTTCCTGAGCAGGGCCAAGCTGTCTGTGAGGAGCATCACACCATGAGCCCAGTGCACTGGGCACAGTTAGTAGGTGGCAGTCTGCAGGAAGGAAGGCTTGCATGTAGTCCTGCTTTCAGAGAGCAGTTGTCTGTGTTTAGAGCTAGTCTGGCTGCTCCACAAGTTTGCTTGTGATTGGTATCTAATGTTGTTCAAACGCTTCCTCCCACAGGATGTCTATGGCCTCTACGAGCCTCGGTACAGGCCCTACGACAGTGCCACATCTGTGTACGCAGAGTACTTCCGCTGCCCCGAGCCTGAGCGGCCCAGCTCCAGAGCAAGTCACTGCTCAGATCGGCCACCTCCCAGGTGGGGCTGTGTCTACTCTGCCTCTTCACTCTATGCAATCTGATGTTTTATTGTTGACTTTTATGGTAACTTAATGGTTTGGAAAATTCTGTGTGTATAAAGAATTATACAAACCTCAGTGGCACCTGTGGCTCAAAGGAGTAGGGTGCCAGCCCCATATACTGGAGGAGGTGGGTTCAAACCTGGCCCTGGCCAAAAACTGCAAAAAAAAAAGAATTATACAAAACTACTTAATATATGTTTACATTTTGTCAACACGGACAAATTGCCAAGTGTTTTTTTTGTTTGTTTGTTTTTGTGAGACAAGAGTCTCACCTTGTCACGCTCAGTAGAGTGCAGTGGCGTCATAGCTCACAGCAACCTCAAACTCTTGGGCTTAAGCCTTTCTCTTGCCTTAGCCTCATGAGTAGCTGGGACTACAGGTGCCCGCCATAACACCGGCTATCTTTTTTTTAGAGACAGGGTCTTGCTCTTGCCCAGGCTGGTGTCGAACTTGTGAGCTCAGGCAATCCACTTGCCTCAGCCTCCCAGAGTGCTAGGATTACAGGCGTGAGCCTCTGCACCCTGTCTCCAAAGTGTTTAAATTGAATTAAATATACTGCCACCAGCATTCAGTAGCATCTGGCCCATCTCATAGTCAGGCCAGACCCATGCAGGTTGACAGGAGCGGCTGTGATCTCGTTGTCTGCGCTGCAGGGCTGGTCGCTCCTGTCATCCAGGCTCGGCTTTTGTTCTGGCTTTTGTTCTATTTTTAGTAGAGACAGGGTCTCACGTTTACTGAAGCAGTCCACCTATCTCGGCCTCCCAGAGTGCTAGGATTACAGGTGTGAGCCACCATGCCCAGCCTACTTTTGACTTTTATAGCATATAATGATGAGAACACAAAAAGGGTCAGGTCCTTTTTGCTGGACAGCTCTTAAATAATTATTTTATTGGCTTGGTGCTGGTAGCACAGTGGTTATGGGCTGGCCATAAGCACTGAGGCTGGCAGGTTTGAACTCGGAGTAGGCCAGCTAAGCAACAATGAAAACCGCAACAAAAAATAGCCGGGCATTGTGGTGGGCATCTGTAGTCCCAGCTACTTGGAGGCTGAGGCAAGAAAATCGCTTAAGCCCAAGAGTTTGAAGTTGCTGTGAGCTGTGATGCTACAGCACTCTACCAAGGGCCACATGGTGAGACTCTGTCAAAAAAAAAAATAAATAAATAAATATTTTACTGAGATAAATTTTAATTAGCTATATGATGAGGAATTCCATAATCTCATCTTTGTTACTATTTCGAATCTTCTGATTAGAATTTTTTTATGACCAAAGTGCTTTGATAAATGTTTTTGCTTTGGGTATAATTTGTATTAGCTGATATCTTTTCACCCTTTTAAGAAATAGGTAATTTGTTTTTAACAGAACTGTATGTTTTTTTCAGGCAAGGGTATCCCGAAGGATACTATAATTCCAAAAATGGATGGAGCAGTCAGAGTGATTTCTATGCAAATTACTATTCCAGCCAGTATGATTACAGAGGTATGTTTGGGGGTTTAAAAAGTCAGCCCTTCATAGTGGCCTTGTCTGAGACATGCTGTGCTCTGCTGGGTAACCTCTGAGAAACTTTTCTTTTAATAGGTCTCTTCTTTATGTTTTTATCCAAGAGCCAAAGTAGTTCAAGATTCTTTGCATCTGAAAATGATTGTATTGATGCTTTTCATTAAGAAATGAATGTCTGAATATCAGAGAGAGGGAAGGAGGGAGAGGGTGGGGTCTTGGTGTGTGCCACACCTTTTGGGGGCAAGACCCAATTGTAAGAGGGACTTTATCTAACAAATGCAATCAGTGAAACCTGGTTTCTTGTACTGTCAATGAACCCCCCAAAATAAATAAATTTAAGAAAAAAAAGAATTAGTAAAGGGGTAGCACCTGTGGCTCAAAAGAGGAGGGTGCCAGCCCCATATGCCAGAAGTGGTGGGTTCAAACCCAGCCCTGGCCAAAAACTGCAAAAAAAAAAGAAAAGAAAAAGAATTAGTGAAGAGGTCTTTTAGCAAAATCTCTTCTACAGATTTCTTTTTAATCAAGAACGCTTGTCTTTAGAGACAACATCAGGCAGGACACAGGCAGGTCCTCTAGCATCTCATCATTACCATTTCCTCGTGTCCTGCTGATTTTTAGGAAGAAAGTTTGGTTTTTCCAGGAGTCCTTCAAGCATTCTTAAGTCAGTGGGGGGTGTGTGCAGCTCTGCAGTGAATCCAGAGTTTCTTCTTCTGCATATTGCTGTGTTAATCCATTAAGCCCTTGCTTACAGATCCAGGTCGCTGGGATCGTTTCCAATACAGCACTAGATTCAAGGACCTCCGCCCCTGTGACCAGAGGTACTGGTATGACGTGGAATATGACCCATATAGGAAAGAACACTATGCTTATGGAGACAGGTTGGTAATCCACTTGGACAGAGGAGCTCAGTGGGAAACAAGGAGTGCTGTCACTCATTTGCCCTCATGTCTTTGGAGTTTATCCAAGAGCTATAGTTGTTTGGGGGTTTCTGGTGAGCAGTTGCCTAATGTTTTGGTCACTGTCTAAGAGAGGAAGGCTAGATTAGGCCTTCCCAGCACTGCTAGTCTGTGGTGTGTTGGGAGAGACTCGGCCTCAGAATGAGTGCTGTCAGTGGCTTCGGGAGCACCCAGGAGTCAGGGTCCACTCTTGTCTCAATGCTTCTTCCTCATCTGTCATGCCCCACAGCCGAGGGAAGGGACTACAGTCATGTGCACCTGAGTTATCTAAGATCCTGAGTCAAGGTCTGAGCCTTTGGTCGCTGTGATGTGACGTCACCTGTAGTGTCAGTTTTAACTCACACACTTGAGGGCAAATGTGTGCTTGGAGGTGGGAGGGCACTGGGAACAGCAGGAGGATCTGCTGGGCTTTGGTCTGTTAGCCAGCGGCTGTCTATCATGCCTGGAGCAGTACTCCCAAACTCCCCTTTCTTT